ATGTTCTGTTCCTATACAACTGATTCTGAGAATGTTTGATGAAACTAAGGCTTTAAAAGCAGGTGAAAAAAGCATATAACATCTTAAAATTTAACTGATTTCACAAAAGTAGAGAGATAAATGTATAAATGTACACTAAGCAATAGAAAATGTAACAACATGTTCATCTAAAGTAGCGTAAATGACCTAGAATTTGGCAGCTAAGCTTTAAACATAAATAAATTGGCAAGGTAAATAGCGTAAATGATCTAAAATCTGGCAGCTAAGTTTAAACATAAATAAATTAGCAAGGTAAATAGCGTAAATGATCTAAAATCTGGCAGCTAACTTTAAACATAAATAAATTAGCAAGGTAAATAGCGTAAATGATCTAAAATCTGGCAGCCAATCTTTAATATAGATAAATTGGCAAGGTAGTTGATCTCCTATTTTCCAATGCTATTTAAAAATTTTAAAATATCAAATATTTGAAATTTTGTATTTCGATTATAAGTCACTGGAGATGCAACAAATAAAGCAGAGTATAATAAGTTCAATTAATAACTGACTCCTGTTACCTAGAAATTAAGTTGTTAATAGCTTCACATATGTTAAAAAAGAAGAAAATCATTTCTCTTTCAGCAGTCAGTGGTACAATACCTAGAGGAAGTTAAATTTTATCATTGAAATTACCATTTGTATTACCATTATTTTTCTTCTGAGCAGACATGACATTCAGGTAAGATCATTGTGTGAGTATACAATGTGAAATAACGTGTCTTTTTGTGTTTCTTCACAGGCAAATAGTTTTATATCATCCCATATTCAACATTGTATATTTGTTCATATCATCTACAAATATGGTTATTCCAGATCAAAAGATGTCATTATCATATGTGTAAACAGCTAAATTTGTAAGCGATTTCTTCAGTAAGTTAAAGATTTTGGTTTTGTGTGGTTGAGAATTTTGTGCAAAGCGACATAAGGGCTATCTGCACTAGCCATCTCTATTTTTGAGCTGATAGAATAGAAGGAAGATAACTAATGAACATCAACTACCGCCAAACCTTAGGCTACTCTAATTGATTAGCTGAACATGACCTAAAGTTCGGAGTATGATATATATACATTTCGAGAACGAAACGCAAATTAGGGACCCTTAGATCCAAAGTTTCACACCGCTGGCTCCGCCTGGACTATCAGATAAAGGAATATTAACGTGATTATTGCCTATATTCCTTCAAAAAATCGCGCCCAGTGTTTTAAAAGTTTGATTTCATATTCTATTAATGATAAATTCAGATTGATTTTCTGACTCTTTTGTAAAGCATAATTGCAACTCTTCCAA